AGTCTTTGTGGCCCACCACCCACATCTTCTTATAAAAACGCCACCATACCAGGATGGGAGATGTCTGCCTTAGAAAATGGTAGCCTGCATTAACCTAACTTCAAAATACAGACTTTTTTTTTTTGGCTGTAAAATATTCTCCTAAAGCAGCATTTCTCAACCTGTGGGTTGCAACCCCTTTGGAGGTCGAACGACCCTTTCCCCAGGGATCGGAATGAGAGTGGTGAAGTAGCAACGAAAATAATTTTATGGTTGGGGGGTCACTAGCACACGAGGAGCTGTATGAAAGGGTCGTGGCATTAGGAAGGTTGAGAACCACTGCCCTAAAGCCTGTCATGTACTTTCTGCCTTCAGAATCCCAGTTTTTTTGTAGAGCCGGAATCCCAACTTCAAAGACTGAGTGTGTGAACTAGAAGTGAAACTTCAGTGCCCTTTAGTGGTTCAGTGTCGAAGGGCAGTTGTGGGAACTGGACTTGAGATGGAAAGCCAGAATTTCACCCCCTCTGTGAGAGTGCTGGACTCTGGCCAGCAGCCCTGGGGCCGTAACAGTTAAAGGCCTGAGAGCGCTGAAGTGGGAGGTTGGTGACTGGAACCCCCCAGGGACTCCACAGGAGGAAGACTCAAAGATCCGGGTCTGGAGCGGTGCTCGCCAGAAGGGCCCCACGATGTGGCCTTTCTCTGCCACATGGCTCTCACAGCTGGGGCTTCTGCCCTCTCTGACGGCCTCGGGGCTTCTGCCCAGATGACTAACCCAGAGTGAGTAAGGTGTCTTAGGCTCCTCCTCCAGTAGGTCTTCAAGGAAGCATTGGTGGGACTTCTATCACCATGTACCCAAACTGGCAGAAGGGGGGATGTCATCACTGTCCACATGCATAGCCCCCTGTGCTTGACTACGATTGAATCCACCTGTTTTCTGTCATAGAAAAAGGGGGTGGGAACTGTGGTGTACAACTAAAGTTAGTGATTATGAAGAAATACTCTCATTTGGATTCTGACAAAGTGTCCTATTTGTGAATCTTGAGGAGAGTGACGGTGTCTGGTGGTGGTTAGAGCTTGAGCAAGTCGGGCAGTTAAGGACGGAGGGCCCCTTAGCAGAATGTGGGGACTTAGTCTTGAATAGGGTTGCTTTGAGCTACCAGTGAGTCAGCTCACAACTGATGGTGACACCATGCATGAGGGACCAAACCCTGCCTGGCCTGCCAGCCTGCAGATTGGACTGTTGTGATCCAGAGGCAGTTCGTGGGCTGGTTTGGGGAAGCCAGTCACCAGCCTGAGTCTGGAGCTCACCTGTAGCTGGTTAATGCTGCATTAGCCAGGACGTACCTCCTGGAACGTGGGTGTTATACCACAGAACCACCACTGTTCCCCTAGAAACCAGATGCTGTCCAGGCAACTGACTCGTGTTGGGGCCCACGTGTGTCAGTGGAACTGTGCTCGCATGGTTTTCAGGGGCTGACTTTCTCCAAACCTTTCCCCTAAGGCACCAGGAGGTAGACTTGAACTTCTGACCTTCCAATCAGCAGCTGAGTCTGTTCGTAGTACCAGTCACCTCTTATCTTACATGAGAAGCTTAAGGAACCCTGGTGGTGCAGTAGTTAAGTGCGCGGCTGCTAACCAAATGTTTGGTCGTTCAAATCCACCCAAGTGGTTCATGAGAGCAGAGACTTGATGAGCTGTTTCTGTAGAGATTCCAGCTTAGGGAACCCTTTGGGGCCAGTCTTTAGGATCCTTGTGAGTCGGAAATTTGACAATGTGCAACTAGAGCGGGAGACTTGGTGACAGCCACCTGCCTTGAGGAGCATCTGCGGAAACATTGCATTATTTCCATGCTGAAAGTACTGGTATATAAAAAGACAGGTTGGAAAAATCTCTAGTTTTTCTGTAGCCAAGTCTGTAAAATAAACCAGGATTTTAAAAATTGGTGACTAGTTATTTGATAATAATTTTCTTTTTAAAAAAAGTTTTCTTAGTTAAATCTTCAAAGCAAGGTTAGGCATTTAAAACAAAACTTTCCTTAAAATCACCATTGGAAGCACTGCTAGCCTTGTACTGTTGGGCATCATGGACTCATGTAGAAATCGCTCATGGTTTCTAGGGTGACATTTCTGGACCTGATGATAGCCAAGATCCTGAGTGATGACTCCCTGACCACGGATGACGTCCCTGTGTTCCTGAGCCACGCAGAGCTGATGGCCGGCTCCTTTGTGGACAACTGCAGGAGTGTGCTAAAAATCACTTCAGAGCATCAAACTGAGGATGAGGTGAGGCCACAGAGGCTACTGGCTCAAACGACCAGGGGTAGATTTGGCTGTGGGAATCCTTTTAAAGATTTTTTTTTTTAATTACACAAATAACTATAGCCTAGTGTTTGCCAAAAGAGGAGTGTGTTAGACAGGGTTCTCTAGAGAAACAAAACCAGGACACTTATGATTTATGTGTGTGTGTGTGTGTGTGTCACGAAGAAATAAACAGCTAATTAGTCTACAGAGCAATACAGAGGGCTCTGTTCAACTCAGTTCCATGAGATAGTTAATACACTGGCAATCCTTCACCTCACGAGGGCTGCTGGGTGCAAGTCAAGGCAGAGCAATATAGGCACTCTGGCCACAGGCAACAAACAGTAGGGTGGGTCACCAACAGTCAGCCAGATGACGGGTCCAACAGTCCCCAGCTCAAGTGATGTGTACACTAGCAATGTGGCGAAGCAGGTCTTGAAGGAACCTCAAACTATAGCGACACAGTCCACTGGTGGGGTGTCCCACAGGCAGTGTAGCTCGCAAGTTGAGGCAGAGAACTAGTTAAGGCAGATACACACTGGTCCGATCACTAGAGAGCAAGAGCCAGAAAGGCGAGGCTCACCGAGCCATATATCTCTTTGCCCGTCAATTAAACTGCCACTTTGTTAATCCCACATGTGTTTATTGGCCAGATTGGCCCAATATACCTACCTATCACAGGGAACTATTGCCCCCAGTTGGGGAGAGAGGGAGGACTCTGGAACAATCCAGGAGAGCTGCTAAAGCAGACCTACACTTAATCCTGGGCTATGGGCTATGGCATAGTGCAGCGGTTCTCAACCTGTGGGCCGCGATCTCTTTGGGGGTCAAACACCCCTTTCACAGGGGTCACCTAAGACCATCACAAAACACATATTTCCGATGGTCTTAGGAACCGAGATTATCCGTCTCCAGGAGGGTCCACCCACATGCAGATACGCCCACATACAAGTACCCGGCATGATGATATCGCGCCAACCCCATCACATACACCTCATGCAAATACAGGTTTATGTGATAAGGTTGGCGCTATAATGTACTTATGCGGGCCAGTCACACATGTAGAGAGCAGCTCTTGTAATATATTATTTTCATTCGCAAACCACCCTATGACAATGGATCGAGTAGCGAAGAACACTAAGAAAAGAAAATATAGTGAGGATTTTTTTTTTTTTTTTAGTGAGGATTTTTTACAGTATGGTTTTACCTCAATAATTACAGCAGGAATTGAGAAACTACAATGTGTTATTTGTTGTGAAGTTCTATCAGCCGAATCTATGAAGCCCAACAAACTAAAACGCCATTTGATAGCAAGCATCTGAGCTTTGCCGGAAAGGACACCGCCTATTTTAAAAGCAAAGCTGATGGACTCAAGAAAGCCAGACTTGACACTGGTGGCAAGTACCACAAACAAAACGTAGCAGCCGTTAAAGCATCATGTTTGGTGGCACTCAGAATCACCAGAGCTATGAAACCTCACATCATTGCTGAGTATTTATTGTTGCCAGTGTCCATAGACATTGTTCAAGTTATGATGGGAGGCAAATTTGTTATGAAATTGAGTATAATTTCCTTATCTAATGACACTGTCTGCAGAAGAATAGATGACATGTCTGCTGATACTCTTGATCAGGTAATCCAGGAAATTAAATCTGCTCCACTTCCAATATTTAGCATCCAGCATGATGAATCTACAGAAGGTACAAACTGTTCACAGTTAACTGGTTTATGTGAGGTATATTAATGATGGGGACTTTAAAGATGAGTTTCTTTTCTGCAAACCTCTTGAAACGGCAACTACTGCATGTGATGTACTTGATGCAGTTGGTTCATTTCTGAAAGAGCCTAAGATCTCTTGGGAAAAGGTTTTGGTGTTTGCACAGATGGTGCTCCAGCTGTGCTAGGATGTCGATCTGGATTTCAACGTTTGGTACTGAATGAGTCACCAAAAGTCATCAGAACTCACTGTATGATTCATTGGTAAGTATTAGCAACGAAGACGATGCCACAAGAGTTACAAGAAGTAATGAAAAGCATCATAAGTTCTGTCAATTTTGTAAAGGTGAGCACTTTAAATAGTCGACTGTTTTTGCAACTGCAGAGTTGGATGCGCTGAATAATGCTCTGCTATTTCACACTGAAGTGAGATGGTTGTCGAGAGGAAAAGTTTTAAAACATTGTTTTTGAGTTTTGTGATGAACTCAAAACATTTTTTAATCAGAAAGCAAGACCTCAGTTCAAAGCATTTTTCAGCGATAAAAGTGAACTGCAGAAAGTAACTTATTTGGTGGACATCTTTGCCATCTTGAGTGAGTTAAATTTATCACTGCAGGGACCAAATGCAACCTGCCTCGATTTGTCTGAAAAGATTCAGTCATTCCAAATGAAACTTCAGCTTTGGAAAAAACAATTGTATGAAAATAAAATTTACATGTTGCCTACCTTATCTGCCTTCTTTGAGGAAGATGACATTGAATCAGACAAAAGGATTACGATGATAATTTCTGTGAAAGAACACTTGCACAAGCTTGCAGAAGAAATTCCACCGTACTTTCCAAATCT